AACAGGTAAATAACAATTTGATGAGTGTCCGGAGTTTTACCTGACCAGTGCCTGACACACAGAGCTGATATGCGATACCGTTTTACCGTAATGAATAGTATTTGTTATTTGCATTCGTTTGCCTATAGCTTCCCCTTCACCTGGATTTTCACACCCCCGGCCTTACCCGACGAGTTACATAAGTGCCCCAGGCGGGGAGAAAACTACAGTCCAGGTACATGTACAAAGTGGTTATGTTTACCTGTATACGGGATTGTGTTGTAATTTTACATGTGTCGATTAAGTTTGTTTAAAAACACAGAAACACAATTTCTAAATATAAGAATGTATAGACAGAAAGATAAGTTTATAGATGTTGCTAGAATATAGAAACATACGTAAACATCAAGTTCATATGTTTAACGTGCACGAAACCGTATAAATTGTTAAGGCATTCCTCAATTTACACCAACCACGATTGTTATCGCACAACGTCCGTCCATCCTGCGCACTGATGTGCGCAAGCAATGATCGTCAAGCTTTTTATCGTTCGCCCATCGTGCACACACCGTTCCCACACCGTTCACACACTGTGCGCATATCACAGGTCGTGTAACGTTGTGCGGTCCCACAACTGTAGGTTACCATACATACCATTGTGGTTTACCTGTATTTATCACAGTATTTTACCTGTTATAGGGTGTGTATCCCAGTATTTTACCTGTTAGTTATAGGGTGTGTATCCCAGTATTTTACCCGTTAGATAAAAATTATAGGTTGTGTAGATATCACAGTATTTTACCTGTTAGTTATAGTATTTTACCTGTTATGGGGTGTGTATCACAGTATTTTACCTGTTAGTTATAGGTTGTGTAGATATCACAGGATTTTACCTGTTATAGGGTGTGAAAAAAGAACAATGGTAGCAGCAACAGATAACACTAAAGCAGCCAGCTGTCGTAGGGAAGACAGATTTCCAAATTCTGTTTTGAGTTTTGATTTACAGGAGACTATTACACATGTGCCTCCAAATCCAGGGTTGTGTAGATATCACAGTATTTAATTACCTGTTATAGGTTGTGTAGACATCACAGTATTTTACCTGTTATAGGTCGTGTAGATATCACAGTATTTTACCTGTCATTGGTTGTGTAGATATCACAGTATTTAATTACCTGTTATAGGTTGTGTAGATATCAAAGTATTTTACCTGTTATAGGTTGTGTAAATATCACAGTATTTTACCTGTTATAGGTTGTCTAGATATCACAGTATTTTACCTGTTAATTATAGTATTTTACCTGTTATGGGGTGTGTGTCACAGTATTTTACCTGTTAGTTATAGGCTGTGTAGATATCACAGTATTTTAACTGTTATAGGGCGTGTATCACAGTATTTTACCTGTTATAGGGTTTGTATCTCTGTATTTTACCTGTTATAGGGTGTTTATCACAGTAGTTTACCTGTTAGTTATAGGTTGTGTAGATATCACAGGATTTTACCTGTTATAGGTTGTGTAGATATCAAAGTATTTTACCTGTTATAGGTTGTGTAGATATCACAGTATTTTACCTGTTATAGGGTGTGAAAAACGAACAATGGTAGCAGCAACAGATAACACTAAAGCAGCCAGCTGTCGTAGGGAAGACAGATTTCCAAATTCTGTTTTGAGTTTTGATTTACAGGAGACTATTACACATGTGCCTCCAAACCCAGCAGCTGATTCCTCTTGTAGGTTTGATATTCCTTTTCCTAGAGCCCATTGTAGTACAGCTGAACCTAGTTTAAGATAGATGGGATTAACAGAGGTCTGTAAACACAGAATCTGTCCATACGAGTAAAATGTCTTCAGCAGGTGAATCACTGGTCTAGAATAGCTGTGATTCTCCGTCACACTGATTACATTTATAATCTGTAGGAGAATCTCATAATCCATCACCCAACACAAATCTAACTGCAGATCTTGACATTTCTTAGCTGACTTTCTCCACATTATAAGAAATGCTGTAATTAAAATTGAGTCGTCTTCTTGGAATGGAAATTTGAGCACATTTTCTACCAGCCATGAAAATCTCTGTTTTATAACATCCAGAACAGTGATAGTTAAATCTCCTTGAAGAAGGTCGGAGGTCATTTCCAATATGGTAGTTTTGTTCAGTGTACCGATTTCTTTATTTCCAAGGCATTCCAATAATTCATGGAGACATTCTTTAATTTTTGCCTACATCAAAAACAGAAGTGATAGATAAACATGTAGTTACAATGTAATTTCTTTGTATTACAGTTTCTTAGTCTTATAGTTTATACCTAACTCAAAACTGTAGCAGGAATAAAGGGAGACATATTCTTCTGCCCCATTAGAGAGAGATACCCATACCGCCGGTCAGGGAAAGATATCTCTGTCTACCCTAGGGTAAAGATGGGGGGATTCCCCTGTCATAACAACTGCATCTCATCACCCCAACAATAGCAGATCATGAAATAACAACTTGTGTTTGATGTGGACGAATAATAAACATTTCAACAGAAAAATCTTAACCCTTGGACTGAGATTTTTCTGGCGTTTTCCCAGGTGTGGAAAGATTATATTAATCTTAATCATCTGTTGTGATGATAATAATGTTTATTAGTAAAAATAACACAGATAAAGAACTAAGTTAAACAAGAGGCCCATGGGCCTAAACGGTCACCTGAGTCCTACAGTATTTATTTTCATTGTTGAAATATGTACCAATTTGAGTACAAAATAGTTAAGTATAACGTTAACTTAAGTTTGTCAGGACCATGAGCTGATCATTCCTAGACCGCATTTCAGTTAAATCGGCCTATTAGAACTTGTTTTTAAGTTTGAAATACTTTTTTCAAAATGGCGGCCGTGGCGGCCATTTTGAATTTCTGATCAACCCGAAAAACAACAACACTTTGTCAGGACCATGAGTCGATCATTCCTACCAGGTTTCAGTTCAATCGGCCCAGCAGAACTTGACTTTAAGTTTGAAATAGTTTTTCAAAATGGCGGCCGTGGCGGCCATATTGGATTTCTGATCGACCCGAAAAATAACAACACTTGGTCAGGGAGATGTCAGTAACCTTCCCATGAAATATTAATGAAATCCTTTTGCCAGTATTTCAGCTTAAGTTGATAATGTAAAATGTTAACGGACGACGGACGGTGGACGAAGACGGATAGCAATAGGTCACTTGAGCTAAAGCTCAGGTGACCTTAAAAGGTACCCACAAATATTTCATGTTATACAGTATAGGAAACTATGATCTACCCTGTACCTTAGGAGTCTCATTTTCCAGCAGCACTCTCCATGCTTTTCGAGCAGCATACAGTATAAAAGGGTCCTCATCAGTCTGTATAAGGTCAACCTGTAAAGAAAAAATTACATATTTTCAGCAAATTGTTCTAAAACAAATATTATTTGTGTGTATTACATCAATCTCTATAAGCCAAAGAAAAGTAGAGTATTTTGAATCAAGAGACTAGCACACTGAAGGAATTGGAATCTTGGGACCAGTGATCTCCAGATTCTGGCTAGTGGGCTACGGGATCAGGACCTGGAGACCAAAATACTAGGGGATCAGAACCTGGATACCAGTAGACTTGGGAACCAGGACCTGGAGACCAGTCAATTAGGGGATCAGAACCTGGATACCAGTAGACTTGGGAACCAGGACCTGGAGACCAGTAGACTAGGGGATCAGAACCTGGTGGCCAGTAGACTAGAGGATTAGAACCTGGAGGGTAATAGACTAGGAGATCAGGACCTGGTGGCCAGTAAAATAGGGGATCAGGACCTAGAGACCAGTAGACAAGGGGATCAGAACATGGAGACCAGTAGACTTGGGGATCAGGACCTGGAGACCAGTAGACTTGGGGATCAGGACCTGGAGACCAGTAGACTTGGGGATCAGAACCTGGAGACCAGTAGACTAGGGGATCAGAACCTGGAGACCAGTAGACTTGGGGATCAGAACCTGGAGACTATTACACTAGTGGATCAGGGCCTTAATTTAATCCAGTGGACTAGGGGATCAGGACCTGGAGATTATTGGACCACGGAATCAGGGCCTAAAAGCCGGTGGACTAGGGGATCAGAACCTGGAAGGCAATAGATTAGAGTATCAGGACCTGGATACCAGTAGACTTGGGAATCAGGGCCTAAAAACCAGTGGACTAGGAGATCAGAACCTGGAGGGCAATACATTAGAGGATCAGGACCTGGATACCAATAGACTAGGGGATCAGGGCGTAAAAACCAGTGGACTAGGAGATCAGCACCTGGAGGGCAATAGATTAGAGGATCGGGACCTGGATACCAGTAGACTTGGGGATCAGAACCTGGAGATTATTGGACCACGGAATCAGGGCCTAAAAGCCGGTGGACTAGGGGATCAGAACCTGGAGGCCAACGTAAAAACCAGTGGACTAGGGTACCAGGACCTGGAGACCAGTAGACTAGGGGATCAGGCCGTAAAAACCAGTGGACTAGGAGATCAGAACCTGGAGGGCAATAGATTAGAGGATCAGGACCTGGATACCAGTAAACTAGGGGATCAGGGCCTAAAAACCAGTGGACTAGGGGATCAGGGCCTAAAAACCAGTGGACTAGGGGATCAGGGCCTAAAAACCAGTGGACTAGGGTATCAGAACCTGGAGGGCAATAGATTAGAGGATCAGGACCTGGATACCAGTAGACTAGGGGATCAGAACCTGGATACCAGTAGAGTAGGGGATCAGAACCTGGAGGGCAATAGATTATAGGATCAGGACCTGGATACCAGTAAACTAGGGGATCAGGGCCTAAAAACAAGTGGACTAGGGGATCAGAACCTGGAGGCCAATATATTAGAGGATCAGGACCTGGATACCAGTAAACTAGGGGATCAGGGCCTAAAAACCAGTGGACTAGGGGATCAGAACCTGGAGGCCAATATATTAGAGGATCAGGACCTGGATACCAGTAAACTAGGGGATCAGGGCCTAAAAACCAGTGGACTAGGGGATCAGAACCTGGAGGCCAATATATTAGAGGATCAGGACCTGGATACCAGTAAACTAGGGGATCAGGGCCTAAAAACCAGTGGACTAGGGGATCAGAACCTGGAGGCCAATATATTAGAGGATCAGGACCTGGATACCAGTAAACTAGGGGATCAGGGCCTAAAAACCAGTGGACTAGGGGATCAGAACCTGGAGGCCAATATATTAGAGGATCAGGACCTGGATACCAGTAAACTAGGGGATCAGGGCCTAAAAACCAGTGGACTAGGGGATCAGAACCTGGAGGCCAATATATTAGAGGATCAGGACCTGGATACCAGTAAACTAGGGGATCAGGGCCTAAAAACCAGTGGACTAGGGGATCAGAACCTGGAGGCCAATATATTAGAGGATCAGGACCTGGATACCAGTAAACTAGGGGATCAGGGCCTAAAAACCAGTGGACTAGGGGATCAGAACCTGGAGGCCAATATATTAGAGGATCAGGACCTGGATACCAGTAAACTAGGGGATCAGGGCCTAAAAACCAGTGGACTAGGGGATCAGAACCTGGAGGCCAATATATTAGAGGATCAGGACCTGGATACCAGTAAACTAGGGGATCAGGGCCTAAAAACCAGTGGACTAGGGGATCAGAACCTGGAGGCCAATATATTAGAGGATCAGGACCTGGATACCAGTAAACTAGGGGATCAGGGCCTAAAAACCAGTGGACTAGGGGATCAGAACCTGGAGGGCAATAGATGAGAAGATCAGGACCTGGATATCAGAAGACTAGGGTATTAGGACATTGAGGCCAGTAGACTAGGGTATCAGGACCTGGAGGCCAGTTGACAAGGTGAACAGGGCCTGGAGACTAGCTATAGTGGACTAGGGGATCAGGACCTGGAGGCCAGTGGACAAGGTGAACAGGGCCTGGAGACCAGTGGAATAGGGGCTCAGAACCAAAGTGTAGTAGACTAGGGGATCAGGACCTGGAGGCCAGTGGACAAGGTGAACAGGGCCTGGAGACCAGTGGACTAGAGGATCAGGACTTGGAGGGCAGAAGACTAGGGGATCAGGACCTGGAGGCCAGTGGCCAAAGTTAACTGGGCCTGAAGACCAGTGCACTATTGGCTCAGAACCAAAGTGTAGTAGACAAGGTGATCAGGGCCTGGAGACTAGTGGACTAGGGGATCAGGACCTGGAGGGCAGTAGACTAGGGGATCAGGACCTGGAAGCCAGTGGACTAGGGGATCAGGACCTGGAAGCCAGTGGACAAGGTGAACTCGGCCTGGAGACCAGTGGACTATGGGCTCAGAACCAAAGTGCAGTAGACTAGGGTATCAGGACCTGGAGACCAGTAGACTATGGGATCAGAACCTGGAGGGCAGTTGGATATCATCTTACTGCCATATATTGATTCAGACACATAAAATGGATTTGTTTTAAGAATTTATTTTTCTTTGAATTCTATTACTTTTTATGAGCACCAACTTCAATTTTTCACTAAACACTGGTTAAATTTAATCAACTTTTGAGAAAATGAGGCATGGACTTTGATATTAGTGGACTTGGAGATCAAATACATATACATATATTGGAATGTTTAAACGAATGCAGTAGGACTTATCTGTTATCACTCATTAGTCTGAAATAACTGACTATTTCCTTTTAATAAAAGGAGATAGTCAGTGTTTTCAGACTATGTAATCAATTAATTAAATACCGAAATAAGTAAATAAATGAAATTAATTTAAAGCCATTTTTGGTCTATGTGGAGTATAACATATTGATATAGATAGATAGTTTTGATGGCGCAGAGATATCTCAAAAATTTAAAAGGATTTAGTTCTAAAATTATTTTGGATCCGACTCATGTCTCGATGTGGCTGTGTGTAGGGTGGGGACAGGAAGAAAAGTATTGTGTTAAAGCTAAAGCGACATATGATAAAACATCAAATAATCACCACTAGATATATCAGCCTCGCAAAGTCTTCAGACATGCTCTTGGAATTAACAGGTTGTTCTTTACTTCTGAACCAGTGATAGCAAGTTGTGAGGCACACGAGTTTCAAGCTCGTCTGATCTCCTCTAGCCTCGTCTGCATTCTGGCCACATACACTGGACAAACAATGACACAAATCTGTAACATCCTTTCGTGAAAAATGTTTAAAGCTGTCAGCAGAGAGACTCATCGTCTCATATCAACACGGATCTTGGTCCACGTGTTTTCTGTCACTTCCGTCAACAATTCGCCCGGATGTTTCTCCTCTGTTGGAGGTACGAAAGTCCATTAACTGTGGTGAGTTGGGGTTGGAGAATCGGATCCACGTGTTTTCTGCTAGTATGCCATACAGGTAAATATTATATCAAAGCTTTTGTCCCAAAATATTCATGTTGCACATTTAACTTGGGAGTGTAGTGTATGAAGTATGCCAAAAAATGTGCCTTTCTGACAAGACCTGTCACATTGTCATGTAATCCGAGGTAAAGTTGTGCAATATTTCTTGTCGATTCGGTACTATAAACTATTAAGGTCAAGACCCCTTCAAACATCGTTGATTCTGTCTTGAGGTTGGTAAGATGATTAAATGACTTATGACAGGGAAATCCTATTGATAACTGGCTTAGGTACTGGCCTCTTTTCATCCCTACTAAAATGTTTAACCATATCGTGACAGGAGTCTGAAATTCTGTCAGAAATTAATAATACAAAATGTAACTATATAATACGCTTAAAAAAAGGCTGCCTGTTTTTAAACATATTACAGTTTTTTTTATAACAGTGTACTGTTATTATTAATTTTTGACAGAATTTCAGACTCCTGTGATTATATTATATGTCACTCTCAATTATTTTCTGTCACATTCAAAGGATATGTTTACTTTTTCCAGATTGAGTCAAATCTAATGCTGCTTGTGCCCAGACTTTGCCCTAGCCGACAACTGTTAGTTTCCTGGAGGAGGATTATATTTCGTCAAATTTACACCAATTCCACGATGAGTTTGAAGAATGAAGGTGAGGAGTCGCAGTACAATGTAGTCAAGGAAGGGAAGGCAGACATCCTCCAACCGAAATCTGTTTTCTACAATCCAGTTCAGGAATTTAACAGAGATCTCACTGTAGCCGTTATATCAAACTTTGCACAACTACGTCGACAAGAGATAAAGAATAATTTGCTGAAGGACAAAAAATCCAAAAATGACCAGGAAGTGCCAGTTTCAGATACAGAAGTAAATATTACCGGTAATGACGTCGAAGAATCACAGAAGAATGTATTTGTTGATGATGATATAGAAGCTGGTAAGATGTGTGCAGATGGCATATCAATCTTGGAAGGCCTAGCAGCATCTGGGCTTCGGTCCATCAGGTTTGGACTGGAGATTCCAGGTGTTAAGAGAATTGTCACTAATGATTTTGATAAAACTGCTGTAGAAGTGATACAGAAAAACATTGAGAGGAATAAACTAGATCACCTCGTCACCTCCAGCTTTGGAGATGCTTCTATGGTAATGTACATGAGTAAAGGAACGGATGCTGCATTTGATGTGATTGACCTTGACCCTTATGGAGGTGCCTCCCAGTTTCTGGATGCTGCTATGCAGTCTGTCAGTGAAGGCGGTTTGTTGTGTGTGACATGTACAGACATGGCTCTATTGTGTGGTAACACACCAGAAAGTTGCCGTGCAAGATACGGTACCATGTCCTACAGGTCAGCATACTGTAAGGAAATGGCACTTCGCATCCTTTTGCAGAGTATGGAAACAACTGCTAATAGGTATTCACGGTATATCATACCCATGATATCAATCAGTGCAGACTTCTACATTAGAGTGTTTGTGAGAGTTTTCACAGGTGCGGCAAAGGTTAAGCTTTCATCTCTCAAGTTGGCCAATGTGTATCACTGCTCAGGATGTGGAGCTTTTACAATACAGAGACTGGCCAGGAAAATACCAACAAAAGGCGATAATTTCAAAATGGCTGCAGCACACGGACCTCCTGTCACAGATTTGTGTGAACATTGTGAACACAAACATTATGTTGTTGGTCCAGTGTGGGCGGACTGTCTTCATGACACAGACTTTGTGAAAAAAGTCATTAAGTATGTTCAGGAGAAACAAGCTGACTTCCAGACACATAAGAGAATAATTGGCATGTTAAGTCTCGTCAGTGAGGAGCTCCGAGACTGTCCCATGTACTATGTTATTGATGATGTATGCCAGCAGGTCCACCTCTCCTCTTTCAACCAGGAAACATTCATGTAAGGATGCAATAATTTTCTGTAAATTAGCCTTACCTGTTTTTCGGCATCATAAATTAGGATACATGTCGGTCAAGAGGTGGGGTAACTGGTCTAATATATTAACTTTTACTGTAAAATTTAGTTCAAATGGTGTAAGAAAAAGTTCATGAAAGGCCAAAAGGAGTTAATTAACTCAAGATGAAATCTTATCATCTTCCAGAATCCAAATTAGTAATTAAAGTAGATGAAGTTCAAGAAATGGTTCTTTGAGGTGACACCAATTACCTCAAAGTTTTCATTGTTTTATGAAAAAGTGTTTTTCTTCAGCTGAAACAAGCTGCTTTGGGTGATATTTTTCCATAGTACCAGTTTATGTTCCTGGTGTGTGAAAGTTTTCCAGTCTACCCATTATTTATGTAGGTTTTTCTTAATGTATACAGTAGATCCTGCTTATTGTGTTATATATTGGACAGAACAGTAGACATAGTCATATAACAATGCATTTCATTCTTAGGTCTGCTCTGTTGAATGCTGGCTTTGAAGTGTCCATGTCTCATGCTGAACAGAATTCTATCAAGACCAATGCTTCAAACACGGACATCTGGGTAAGATGAAACTACATGTAAATCAATGTAAATCAATGTTGTAGATCATAAAATGATGTATGGCATCTTGAGTATATATGCCATATGTACATTTATCAACAGCCAACATACTGAGCATTAATTTTTGTCTTCACCAAAACACATAACTGTGTACTGCGATCACTTGTACAGTGTTTGTTTCAGCTGTCAGTTTTATTTTGACACTGGTTTTTAACCAGCTTTGGTTAACACAGACTCTGTGAAGTGACAACTAAGTACTGTAATCACATGTGCAATGTTTTTCTAAGTTGCCAGTGAGTTTGATTTAGATTTAGATTTATATCACTAAATTTAGTTTTCAGCGTGGTAAATAAAAGAATGATATGTAAATGTTTGGATTTAATCATATACCAGGTACATGGAAATCTATACACATACATTTTTTTTTTCAATGTATTAGAAATTAAACTGAGATCTGTGTAAACATATTTGTGTACTTACTGTGTCATACTAAAGTAACATATATATCTGACCAGTTTACTCTATTAACTATATGTTTAGGTAAGTGTCTCAGATCTGATCCAATATAATACAGTTGAAACTTGATCATAAAACGCAGTTATGCAAGATTGAAGTTGCAACCTAAACTGAGGTCATAATCTTGGAAGTTTAACCCCGGCAACCCTAAAGTCACATTTGAACCTTACCAACTCATAGACTGCCCTGGATAAGTCCAGTCTGAATATGTAGAGGTGAATGACTTAAAAGAGGCAAAGGACTGTAGATCTTCTATAATCAACAGTGAATATAAACAGTCTAATGAGATATGGTGTGTGCAATTCGCAGCTATGGTAATTCTTAAAATGGAAATATACACTAAGAAAGCTTGATTTTAATTGTTTATGTTTATAAGAATATGTATTTTATACCTTGAAATTTAATGAATTATTATATATTTGATGTATTCTGAAGTTGTTTGTGTTACATATATGTTCAGTTGGTTGATTTGAACAAAATATGCCAGGTATGTAAAACCCAGGCCCATTCAGGCCTTGTTGGAAACATCTGATGAAAAATTATGCCGAGTTAAAGGACTTCAGGCATTATGGGTCATTTTTGGCCTCATAAACTGTGAAAATTTCAACTTGAATTTATTTACCATTTTCTATTATAAACATCATATTGGTTTTTTCCATTGCGCATGCATAGATGCCCTACCATAGCAACAACATTGCGTTACTATACAGAAATAGTCAAAATATGATGTTTTTGGACAGTTAGCATGCAGAAATGAAAGCCTCCGCATATGACAAACAAAAATTCCCTTCTTCACATGAACACTGTATGACAATTTTTAAGCATGTCAGAAATTTATTTGTTTGATGCATGCGCAGGATCTCAAAAATGTAAAAGTGTTAAGTTAATTTCCTTCAAAATGGCAAATTTTCAACCAAATACAGCACAACAGACAATATTTACAAATTTTATTATGAAAATAAGTGTTTTTGTCTTTCTTCATAATGCCATATCTCCTAAACCAGTTGTCAAATGAATTTGAAACTTCAGATTTGCGTTCTTCATATATTCTTGATAATGAATATAACAACTCATCCCCGATGAGGCTGAAAATAACCCTTAATGCCCTTAGTCCTTTGTATTTAAGCTGGTGACAGGGATATGTTTTGGATTAACAATAAAAAAATAGTCCCTAGTGACAGATTCAGGCCAATTCAGTCTCTTATTGATATTCCTCGGACTGTTTTAGGATATTGTACGATCATGGGAGAAAACACATCCTGTCACTGAGAAGCGTCGTGTACCTGGGTCAGTCACAGCCAATATCCTGTCCAAGGAGCCAACCCTGAAGGTGTCGTTTGAGACCCACCCTGGGGCCAAACAAGAGTCAAAGAAACAGGGACTGTCACGATACCCACAGAATCCAGAGAAATTTTGGGGACCCAAACCAAGGGCCAAAAAATCAGAGGTGGACTCTGTGGAATCCATGGTTGACAAGAGGATAAAACTCCAAGGAAAGAGGAAGAAGAATCAGGAAGTTAGTGAGTCACTCATTTAACCCAAGTATGGCTACATTGATTTTTTTCATAACTTAAATATCTTAATGCCCAACGTTTGCATGATCACAAATATTTCATTAAATAACAAAATTTTGGACTGATTGTAATAAGGCCATTAAATAGATCTCTATCAAATTTAGCACTGATACATACCTGTCAACTCCCGCTGAGTGAAACCTCCAAGCAGGGAGATCTCCCTCTGAGCACATCTCCAGAAATGGACGTTTTGCATAACGTATGCTCAGTTGTTTCATCAACTCCATTAAGATTTTTTTTCCCTAAAATTACTATAATGATCCAAAGGTATAATATTTTGTATGGCCAATACAATGTGTTTTAAATAGTTTAATAAAGAAAGTTTTTAAGAACATATTTTTACATCTTAATTGCATTTTCTTTTTATTCATATATAATAGCCTGTAAAATCAAAATTACCGGTACAATCAAAATTACTGGTACATAGATAGAAAGAAACAGTATTTTTTAAGGAAAAAAATTCTATTTGGTCAGGTTTTTTCTGTAAATGGTTCATTATAATCTTTTCATTGGTCAGAACAGAGGAAGCATATTGAATTTGTAAAAGGATATAAATGTGTACTTGACTCAGTAAAACTAACAGCCTGAAATGTGCATAAGCCTTGGTTAACTCTGCCTACATCTACTGTTGGCAGTAAATCTGAATAGCTCCGCTCACATGTATTGTTGTCGACACCATGGAAACCGATCACACTCTATAGTCAGGTCATATGACGGTAACTCGAGTTGCGGGAACAATGGTTATTGAATGAATGTCAGTACTTGACATATTGAATATATATCAGATTAACTGCTATTTATCTATACTTAATTTATTTGATTGGGAATTATGTAAGTCGTTTGTGACATTTAAGTATGTTTACATCCTCATTGCATTTACTTAATATATATAAAATTACAAATATCACATTGTATTTTATTAAAGTTAACATAATGACAGCCTGACGTTTAAATTGACATAAAAAATAAATTAAAATGATCGTGGAATAAAATAATTTACACTGAAGATTTTTTTTTAGGCTGATGATAGTGCAGGCGAGCAAGAAGCCAAGAAGAAAAATGACACACAAGATTCTTAGACGGCTGCAGAGTGACTGGTTATAGATAAATACAATGAACGCTTTCGTCATACAAAGTGGGACTTGTGCAGGACTCATTTTAAAAAAGGCTCCATAGAAAGATCATTGTAAAGTGGGACTGGTGAGACGCTTGCTATAATGAAGGCTCCCCAAACAGATCATTGTCAAGTGTGACTGGTGGGACGCTTGCTATAATGAAGGCTCTCCAGACAGATCCTTGTAAAGTGTGACTGGTGGGACGCTTGCTATAATGAAGGCTCTCCAGACAGATCCTTGTAAAGTGTGACTGGTTAGAGGCTTGTTAAATTGAGGCTCCCTAGACAGATCCTTGTAAAGTGTGACTGGTGGGACGCTTGCTATAATGAAGGCTCTCCAGACAGATCATTGTCAAGTGTGACTGGTGGGACGCTTGCTATAATGAAGGCTCCCCAGACAGATCATTGTCAAGTGTGACTGGTGGGACGCTTGCTATAATGAAGGCTCCCCAGACAGATCATTGTAAAGTTTGACTGGTGGGACGCTTGCTATAATGAAGGCTACCCAAACAGATCATTGTCAAGTGTGACTGGTGGGACGCTTGCTATAATGAAGGCTCCCCAGACAGATCATTGTAAAGTTTGACTGGTGAGGGACTTGTTACAATGAAGGCGCCTCAGACAGATCATTGTAAAGTTTGACTGCTGAGGGACTTGTTACAATAAAGGCTCCCCAGACAGATCATTGTAAAGTTTGACTGGTGGGACGCTTGCTGAAATGAAGGCTACCCAAACAGATCATTGTCAAGTGTGACTGGTGGGACGCTTGCTATAATGAAGGCTCCCCAGACAGATCATTGTAAAGTGGGACTGGTGGGACGCTTGCTATAATGAAGGCTACCCAAACAGATCATTGTAAAGTTTGACTGGTGGGACGCTTGTTATAATGAAGGCTCCCCAGACAGATCATTGTAAAGTTTGACTGGTGGGACGCTTGTTATAATGAAGGCTCCCCAGACAGATCATTGTAAAGTGGGACTGGTGGGACGCTTGCTATAATGAAGGCTCCCCAGACAGATCAATGTAAATTGTAAAATGTGACTGAAGGGGAGCTTGCAATAATGAAGGCTCCCCAGACAGATCATTGTAAAGTGGGACTGGTGGGACGCTTGCTATAATGAAGGCTCCCCAGACAGATCATTGTAAAGTTTGACTGGTGAGGGACTTGTTACAATGAAGGCATCCCAGACAGGTTGCTTGTTTAGTGCCACAAGTGAATGGATTGTTTCAATGAATTCTCAATGGAAAGATTGTGTTAAAGTGAGACTAGTGCAGAGGATGTTATGATGCAGGCTCCGTAGATAGACTTACAAAAACCAATGACTGGTGAAGGGGATGTTACAATGAAGGCTCCTTGGGAATAAAATCATAAAAAGTGACAAGTAAAGACTCGAAAGAGGTTGCTAGAACAAAGTCTCCATAGAAAGATATCCTTATAGGGTTTATCATTGGCTCACAATGCAGTCTTCTAGTAAATGGAATTTGGAATGGAATGCTTCAGTCTGGAGATTGACAAAACTTGTGCTATTTTATTATGGTGTTCATGACGTTGACATGATGAGAAAGGTGTATGAGTTGTGGCTATCATTATAGAATTGATCTATAGTCAGACTGTCAGGGAATAAATCTGTGATGGAATGATCTAATCTTATCAATGGTGTTTTGATGAGCTAGCATTACTCAAGTAATCATGGAAGCGTTATTTGACGAGGAAACCATGTTTGTGTTAAACATCATCAACAACCTTTTAAAAAGATCAGTATTTCAGCATATATAGAAGAATATCATAGTTTTTCTTTTCAGTGTGTGATGGATGTCAAGATCTTTTGTTAAATTTTTGAAGTTCCCTTACTATGTTGAAGATGTGAATAAAGTAGATTACATCTACCATGACTTACCTCCAATATTTTTATTGCTTGGTTTTGCTTGTTTGGAACACAATTTTCAACTAGTGAAAAAAATAATACATGTACTGCATAAACCTTCCCTCCAAGGTCACAAACAGGTCAAAGTTCAAATAAGATTTTGCTTGTTTGTATTATACCAGTATTTGGTTTACCAGTACCTAAAGAAAATATTTAATGAAACTGCGGACACATATATATATATATGCTTTAACCAGGCAATGTAACATTGAACAGGATACCTTTAGGTATGTATAGTCATTAGGTTGCCCGTTGTGTTTTAGTTTCCAGATTCTCACCCTAATTCTGTTCAACACTTAAGATGAACATTAAGTCGGAACAGGTTTTGGGGCACAATTATGTGTATCCAGTAATGAGTACTGCTGGTTGTAATATTGTAACGTGTAATTGTATCCCCGGGTTATACCGCTTTGCTGGAGAAGTTAGCTTGTCAGTAAGGCAGGATTTTCCCCTCAAATTCCTTAGCTGTTACAATATCTAATCAACCAAGAATCAGTTACATGTTGATGATCGTTTTCAATTGTTCAACTTCCTTAAGAACTTTCACATCACATGGAAGCATCTCTGTAAGAATACTTCAGTCAAACTAAACTTCCCCAACTGTTGCCGAGTGTATTTCATTCTTGAAAGGTATTTCTTTCAACAGTATGTGTTGTCCTGGGGTGTTAGCAAATGGACATTGCAAATGTGCGCTGATGTCAACCATATTATTGGAACATTATCAATGTCATTTTAAAATGCTTTGTCAAGCTTCCTCTTTCATTGCATTGGTGGCAATCAAGGTTTCATAATATAACCTTTATTTTATTTTACAACAATTATGAAACAAGTTATTTCAACTTATAATTATCACTCTTGTTGGCCCGGTTGTTAGCGCGTGGGGGGCTTATTGTGGGAGGAAAACCGGAGTGCCCAGAGAAAACCCACGTGGTCGGTCAACCTTTTCACGTCTGATCGGGGAATCGAACCCCGGCCGCCTTGGTGAAAGTCAAGTGCGCTATCCACTGCACCACCCAAGATTTCATTTTGGTTGTGTTGGGGACAGTGTACATGCATCAGCAGATCTTCATCATGGAAGCCGGGGCGTTGCTTGGGACAATAAGTTTATATTTTCATATTTGTATTGGAGTATTTTGTAATAATTATGTAGTAGGAGTAGAAAATGCAAAGCCACATCGGAGTTAGATCCTGGGATACTCCAAACTCTAGAGTGATGCTCTACCAATTGATCTACGGACAATCGACCCAGTCCAGTTTCGCTACATTCCTCCCTCCTTTTTCCAAGTCTTCTCCCTCGAAGACAACACTATTTACAACCAAGGTTCTGGTATCCCTTTGTCAAGTATTCACCTAGTACTTGAAACAAGGATTGCTCACTGAATGTAGTAAGTATTGTGAGATCAATAATTCCTCATGTCATCAAACACATAGTTTAAATCTGAAAAAATCATCAAAAACTGTGATTTTAACGTAGCTGACTGCACAAAAATACTCCTTCATTTGGTAGTACTGGCCCTACAATATATGTTGAACACTATATTAAAACCACTGATTAAATTGTTCATGTATGTACCTGGTAAGTGTATCAATACTTAGAAAATGATGGTATATAACAAAAATAGAGATAACTAGAGTATTGCTTGAGAGAAATATAATTCGCCTGTCACAAATTATACAGCATTCACTTATCTACAAATAATTTTGAAATAATAATACTTTGGAAACAATGTATCTAAAAACATTTCAAGCCGAAGTGTCTTATAGATATGGGCAAGGGGAGACAACTATATCCTACACAGTTTTATAACAGATTTTTGAAATTATTTAGTGGAACAGAGAGGACTAAGACAAGGTCCTCCCACTTGTTATTAATCTGTGTCTGTCTAGGGGTTGTCTCCCTTTGCTCACGTGTTTACAAATCTAAATTCAAATTAAAATAAAAAATAAAAAAATGTGATGATTATTAAGTTGGCAGATCGGGACAAAGGGAGGCGATCTCGGGACAATAAATCTTTTTAAAATGAAATGTTTGTCATTATTGAAATGCACCATTTTTGGCAGGTCTATATTAAACTCTGTTGGCCAAGGAATGTTTTATTACATACAATAATTCTTTTTTTTTTTGAAATTCTAATGTGTGTCTTTCTGTTAATTTCCGTCTTTATTCTAAATAAATATAAGTACATGGATGTAGATCTAAATCATATGCAAAATATTTTGTCTTTATTAAAACAAGAGGCCCAGAGGGCCTGTATCACTCACCTGGATGATAAATCAACCATGGAAAATGATTCTTATTACATATAATACTGCAACTATTTCCAAATATTTGCTATGTCTCTCAGCAACACCCATCTCTCATTAGGTCCCTTCTTTCTGGCCCCATGAATTGGGGTGGATTTTAAACATTAACTTCAATTTCCCCTATGGGGGCCCACCCCTCTACTCCCTAAAAGCAACCCTCCATTTATACAGAATTGAGTCCCCTTTGCTCAAGGAGAAGGATTTTTAAACATTTATTACTATGTTCCCTCTACTAGACCCTTCCCCTTTGCTTCTTAGGGGACCACACTCCATTTTAAAACAAATTGAGTCCCCCTTACAAAATGATGCTCTGGACCAAAATTATTAACTTCAATTTACCCTATTGGACCCCCTAGCCACACCCTCTATTTATACAAACTTGACTTCCCTTTGCTCTGGACCATAATTGGTTAAAATATCGCCAATGATTTACCTGAATTTCCCCTATGGGGCCCCACCCCTCTGCCTTTGCCCAAGGATGCCTCCAGGCCTAATGAGGATAAAATCCCTTAAATGGTACGGAAGAAGAATGATTTTAAATATTTAAACCTCAAATACACCTATTTGGCCCCAACCCTCTGTACCAAGAGGGGCCACAACCTCCATTTATACACAATTTAGTCCCCTTTGCCTCAGGATGCTTCAGGCCGAATTTGGATAAAATCCCTCCAATGATACAGAAGAAGAAGGATTTTAACGATTTAAACATCAAATACCCCTATTCGGCCCCACCCCTCTGCCCTTAGGGGGGGCACACCCTCCGTTTATACAAAATTTAGTCGCCTTTGCTAGGTATCCTTACCTTTCTTTTTCCTTGGTTACCCTTCACTGTTCCCCTGTCATTATTTTATTTGTGTGCAGGCTTCTGTCTGTCCACCCGTTCCTTATCTACACTACCTGCCTGGCTGGTGTCAACACATACTTCACCCGCATTGCTCATCTCTGCCTTCAGGTTTGCGATCCGGCTTGGAATGATGTAACAGTCATATGGTTTTAGTCTGTCGTAATGAACTACTGATGTTTCGTTTTCTCTGATATTTTTACTTCATATAACAANTTCATCTCTGCCTTCAGGTTTGCGATCCAGCCTGGAATGATGTAACAGTCATATGGTTTTAGTCTGTCGTAATGAACTACTGATGTTTCGTTTTCTCTGATATTTTTACTTCATATAACAAAGAACTTAGTTTCCTTGTGACGAAGACTGGCCCTTTCCATACATTTGGATTAAGTTTATGACCCCTTCCGATCTTCCTAGCACTGTCCAGAATATGACCACAAAATCTAGCTTCGTAATTATGCGAATAACTTCTAGTGTTGTAATTACGCTTCTGTCGCTCAGCATTTTCCTTCAAATGCTTTCTCACATGCTCATAAGTAACACCCAGTTTTCATATTTTTCACTAGTATTGATTCCCATGGTTAGTTGAATTGGCAAATTATTCTCTCTGCTACTCACTTTGCATAAGCTAAAACTTGTAAACTATCCATTACCACCTTGGTATCCAGACGTACTTTCCGGCAGTAGTCTAAGTATCCATCGCCACCCTTTCCAAAGGTGCTCCCACCAAATATGAACCTCATTTACCTTTAGGTTTTTATTTAGGGTGTTCATTAAGCACATACTGCACAAGATGTGACCACACAGTGATAACCCGCTTATTTTCATGCCAGTAAAATAAGTTTTCATTTTAGCAAGGGTCTCAATAACCCAAAAATGAGCTGCCCTATTAGAGGCAAAGGATTACACTTGGAACTAACACCGCTGGTAAAACTAACTAATTCGGATGTTTTTAGCTGATAAACTTCTTTTACAAATAACCACCCCCAAAACAATAAATCCTTTGAAGGTCTCAGATTTCCGTTACTGGACTTCCCACAGCGACGATATCTCTTACTGGATACTTCTCTACATGCATACTTCCCAATATATCTGCAATAATAGATCTCGGCACTCTGTATCCGTCAATTCATCCTGCTGGTTTATTCTCCTGTGTTTTTGGTACTCTGTAAATCCACCAACAACTTTCCATTAGTTTCTCCGACGCTGATCTCCCACCCAGATCAGACCCAGGGTCCCATACCTGGAAGCTGGAGTTACTCTGCTCCATCAGAGTTCAGACTTGTGTAGTTGCTGAACAACTCGCCTACATGAACCAGCGAGACTTGTGCTAAGACTCCTTAAGATCAACACAAGCTTGTTCATTGACTACTTAATTAACAGAACTTCAACACTAGGCTTAACCCAAATGTCCAATTTCATGTACTCATGAACTAATTCCCTGGTTCGTCCCTCATACTACATGAAGTTGGCACGCCATTTAGGTGTCGAAAGCCAAACAAAGTTGTAACAGTTTCAAGCATTGATCAGATGGATGATTCTTATTGTCAAAATCGTCAAACCCGTCAGAACAACGAAGACTTATGATCAGTCCTCAATCTTGGGCGATGTTAATTTTGAAACCCACAATCTTACTCTCATTTTAGTACTCAGAATCTACAAGTTTTCTTCACTAAAATCGGAAATAATTTCTACTTTGGACACTTCTTTATCATTACCATTCTGTCCTGAATTAGCGCCATTGACGAATCACCCTTTACTTTTACTCTCAGTCCGTTTATTCTTTCGGATGTCAGTTTGCAAAAGAACAATATATTTTTAGCCTTAAATTCCTGGGTCCCACAGCTTCATTAATTCTGAAGTCCCAATATATCCGAATGTACCACGAATCGTACCCATCAGATGATATTCTGTTGTATGCAAATAAAATACAATGCATGCCTTAGCATTTTTGCGATCACAATTACATTACAGACTGAACAATGAATACTCACAAGTAACACAATAAACCACGTCGCTGTGTTTGTCTCCATCTTCGGCTCGATGATGTGTTTAATTGTATAATCCATATACAATGTAACATTCTTTCCAAAAGCATATGTGTTAGATACAATATCACCATTTATTCCTAGAACACGCATTGAAGTTCGAATCCCTCCGCTGCACAACAGTGTTACGTTTGTAATATCCCACCGCTGCCACCAGTGTTACGTTTGTAATATCCCACCGCTGCCACCAGTGTTACGTTTTGTAATATTATCCCACCGCTGCCACCAGTGTAACGTTTGTAATATTATCCCACCGCTGCGACCAGTGTTACGTTTGTAATATTATCCCACCGCTGCCACCAGTGTTACGTTTGTAATATTATCCAACCGCNTCAGTGTTACGTTTGTAATATTATCCCGCCGCTGCCACCAGTGTTACGTTTGTAATATTATCCCACCGCTGCCATCAGTGTTACGTTTGTAATATTATCCCACCGCTGCCACCAGTGTTACGTTTTGTAATATTATCCCACCGTGTTACTTTAAAAAAATCCGCCGCTGCCACCAGTTCAAATTAATTGAACAACACAAAAACTTGTGTACATTGATATTTACACTTTATTTACAAGACAAGTATTTAAATCCGTCATAGAATATACAAGTGTTCACCATTGTGAACGCTATCTCTCAACTCCAAGCTAATCCCTACAATCAACTGTAAAACTACACAGACCTAGGACTACAGCTAAAACTACTATTCTTACTAACTTCCCAATTCTTCAATTTTCTAACTCTCCTCTATGTCTCAAGACCTCTCAACTCGGTCTCCCTGACTCAACCTTCTCTTTCCAACTCTTCAACTCTACTCCTCTATTCCAACTCCCTAACTCTACTCCTCTAGCCCAACTCTCTCTTTCTCCCACTCTTAACTACCTTATTATCTATCCCCTTAGCAAAATCCTGCTACATTAAAAATGGGTTGCGGAGGCACAAACACTACGTCACAGACTAGACTCCCCCCACCTAGACTACATACGGTCAAACTTATGTACAGATCTTAAACTATATCACAAGCACAATTATCTACGGCTACTTAGCTACTATCTTCTCTAATAAAACTCTGACACTGACCACGAGCCAAGGCTAATAAAATGCATAGCTAATCATCTGTACACTTTGAACAATTAAATGGCTACTAAATGCATAACACTAAGTTGGTATCACATATGAACGTACGTGCTCGGACACCTCATAAATGCGTTAAAAAGGTGCAAACGGAATTTCAGGGCGAAAAATTTAAAGCATAATGATACATATACTTGAAGCTAATCGATGGTGGTTTTTTTTTTTTTTTTTTCAATTGATAAGTCAATCCGCCTGCCTTATTGTTGAATGGAATATATAAATTAATCGGAGTCGTACCAACTAACTATATTTTGTAAAATTCGACATTTGAAAAAGAGCTGGTATTCCAGCCTAGCCTCCGAAATAATCATCTGAGACATATACATTTGATCCTTCTCTCCGGGGTACTATGGTCTACATATTGCACACCTCGTCTGTTACATTTAGTCCTCAGTACAATTAAGTATCACCCGTCTACCCGCGATTTTTCTGTCCTCATTATTTTAGAATATCTTTATCACGTATACTAACTGTACTACTGCAATGTATTGAGAAAAGAAAGTTTAAACTAAAATTTCAACAAGTTGATCTATAGCCTAGACGGTTCCCATCGTTGCACGATAAGTTGTAACAGGGACAGTACGTCCCTGGTTGTAATCAAAAGCTTGAATATCTGCGCAAATATAATTAAAATGTATTACCGTCAATCAGAATAAATACAAAATTAATGGTATCTTAAAAAAGACGCATACATAGAATAAAACAAGACCAAAATTAATATGACGTTGATTTAAAAACCAACCGTGCAGTTGGTAATTGATTCACATTACCCCTTCGAGGCCCCTTGAACTTTTGCAAATTTCTGATTTAAAACACCAATTATTTGTTAAACACACAGATTTTGAAGGTTAATGTTTTCACAACTAACACCTTAAATGTCTTCTTACATATATAAATAAAATAAGATTGGTACATAGTGTAGACGTAACAAGTACAAAATGCACATTGTTTATGTTCCTTCATCGGCAGTAGAGAATGTCCGAGAATGACAGCTGTCTGGCTGTTTATATTTTATCTATGTTTTTTTTTATTATGTTAAGAAGATAAGTAACTCCCGTTCTCATTCTCTTTGATAAAACGCGTTATATGATCAGTTGGTTAGTTTTATTCTACAGAGTTGCCTAAAAATACGCCCAAATCATTCTGAAATGAGCCGGGGAATAATCATTTTTCTTCTGGTTGCTATGGTGGCGCGAAATGTTTTGTGATGATCACGTGATCCGACATGCTCCGCCCCTCATTAATATTCATGAGAAAAAGTTGCCTTTTTTTTTAATATGACCTTTTGAAACTTAGTATCTGGGTCATAACTTTGAAACGGTTGAGATCCCCACCCCAAAACTAAATAAACACAATCATGATTAACATTGACCCTTAATTGGGTCTGGCCACACCATGTTTCTGGGGCATAACTTGGAAACAGTTGAGATCCCCACCACAAAACTGCAATATTGCTGGGGGAGAGACATATACAATCAGTAGTACATACGTCTCTGCTGGGCATAAAGAGACTAATGCAGTCATTGTATTCGAATTGATCATGGGGTCTGGCCACAACCCTAGGGACCTAGTAGGCTACTATGAGTCTACACGTATCTTAGTCACACCTTGGAAACAGTTGAGATACACCCAAAACTACCCAAAAACACACCCTAAACAAACCAAAACTACCCATAAACACCTTCAAATCTATTTTATTGTAAATAAAAACCTTAGACGATTGAGTCTTTTCTTTTAAAAAACCCGGAGTTATGCTATCAGTTCAGTAAGGGGAAGTAAATCGTATATATTGGAATACCGTAAGAAATTGTCCCGACGCAATGTATTTCATTGATTGGCATTTATGAACACGCATGTCTAGATGCACTTGACTGGTTTCGGGATTTAGGTCTAATGTAATTTGTATGTATAATATAATAATAAACGAAAGACGCTTTTACGTACCATTTTTATTTCAAAAACAAGGTAAATCATATAACACAGTACGTTTTGAAAAGATATAGTATATGTATAGTTTAAAAATACTTAATGCGCAACACCCAGCAAGAAACAATAACAGGACGGTCTCACTAGCCGAGGTTATCCAACGACCAGAAAGACAGTGCGACAGTGAATAGCATTGGCTGTTTATTTTGAACCGCGTGTTTGCGTTCACTTCCGGTCCGTCAATAGCTCAACCGGAAGCCTCTCTATTATCGGAGGAACGAAAAGGTATTGCTATTTATTCGCTATCCATAATATTATACCCACGTGTGGGTTTCATCTGTTCATTTCTGGTAATCAGTGACATATTAACACAACGATACAAAATGTCACGAATGTTGATACCCGTCAAAATTAGTTGGTGATGTGATTATTCTCAAGGGTGTCAGGTCGTGTCGGTAACAAGTCGTTTCTGGACCTTTTCCGGGTCGTTTCGGGACATGTCAAAAGTCGTTAATAAAAATAGCTAAAATAACTTAAATCGTAACTTTTTCAAATTGTTTTTCCAAGTCGCATTTATTCATCATTAAACATAATGCAAATGCAAAAATAAACTTTATTTGCATGTGGGAAACGAAAGTACCATAAATAGATGCAATACCTACGGTAAAATTACATCAAGTTTCTAACGTCAGTGAAGGTAAATTCGTCACATTAGTAAGGGTTTCTGTTAATAATTCGACCGAATAGGCATGTATCAAAATGCCGACGAGAACCAATACAGAAGAAGATTCGACTGAAATGCCTATAAATAAACATTGTTGTAAACACGCCTGAATGACGTCACGCAACAACATTTGTGACGTCATCAGGCCTTCCATGGTTTTGCTCAAAGGTGCAGGCAGTTTCGCCACCTTCAAACATTAACTAATTGACAAGTGATCTAAGTGTTTAAATGTAAAAAAAAATATGTTAATGTTACACAAGCCGTACTGATACGAAAAGCTCCAAACGTGTGTGTGTAACAATGATAACATTGAAATACATGGCTTTTCTTAGTTGTGATAGTTAGTTTTCGGTAACTTGAAGAAACTGATTAATGTTGTTTAAGAAAGATGACGGGTATTGGCTGAGATGATGTCAATTTACATGATACACAATAAAGACTCGGTCCTTAACAAATATAAACTTCCAAATCGCTGGCCAATATTATATTTTTCATCGGGTCAGGATGAGAGGGTCCAGGGCTTTCAACAATCCCCCCCCCGACTTTTTGGATAATTTGTCACATGTATGTCTCCGATAGTCTAGCATGTCAACGGGAAACATCTGACAAATTAAAACGATTTTCTTGGGCTTGAAAACAGCAGCACTTTCAGGCCAATAACAAATTCCTTTCAGATATAAATCTAGAAAATTTCTAGATGATATTTTAATTTAAGTGTTGTAAGATTGTTGAACGTAAGATGCAAACAATACTTTTAAAAAGATACTGGTGGATTGTATTCTAAATCACAGTGCATGAAAATGAAAACTAACGAATTATCAAATCGCGGATATTTCCGATCTTCATTTCCATAAACTCGCAGTGGATCATCAGTACATTGTACAAGTACCAAAGTACACTTGTAGAAAAAAAACCCATTTACTTGCATTAACTGCAATTAGCGTTAAGATATGGGTATTTTCATGTGTATTTAATAAATTTACACTAAATAACAACCAACTGGCCGGCTGACCAGTAAACATATTTTAGCAAAATATTGTTTACCTTGTCGTAAATTAAAGCGATTTTTAATAATATCGTGCAAAAGTTACTGTTAAAGCGATTTGGATTATTTTTAGTAATAAATCCATGCTCCAACTAGCGTATAATAGGCGAGTTTGCATATTATACGCAAGTTGGTGGTTTTCCCAAACCTGTTTAAATGTGACATTTCGGATAATTTCCTCGTATAAATCCTCTAGCGGACCTGCAGCTGTTTATGCAGGCCTTGTAAGGCTTTATCAAGGCTCGTCTGAAAGTAGCATCCGATTAAGGTCCTACTTTATATCATAAATGAACAACTCTAGTCAAACCGAATAATCCACATGGCACAAATATCTAATACACATGCTAAACTGATTATATGTCACAGCCGAAGCATTCCTAATATTGCCTGTTTTTTTTCAACTTTTCCAGTGTTTGTTTACATTAATTGTCAAGATTATATTTTTTTCATTGACAACAATATTCTAATGAAATCGTAATACGCATGCATATATATCTGTAATGTTCCATGTTGTATTTTTGGGACAATCACTTCAAGGGCAAGGTCACAAATTGAGATCAAAGGTCAATCTAGCCTTTTTTTGTGAAGAGCAAGCTTCTGTGAAAAGACCATTTTTGAGATTTAAAAAAAAATGCAAACAAAAACGATAGCCATAGTCGGGTAATACTGAAATTACAACCACTAGGCAGCTTGCCTTTTAGTTAGTAATGTTCATGACCCTCACAATCACCACCAAAACAGAGTTCACATATAATGGTTAGAAGTTGTTACTGGATTCTTTTGAATAATTGAATTACAAAAAAGCAAATTTATTGAAACTCTATAATTCATGTGATATCACTATATGTGACATACTGTTGTGTTTTATAGACCCCCTCCCTTCTGTCAAGGTCACTGAGTCTTTGTACTTCGTTACTAACTCACTTTTTGCTTTGACAATTCTGGTGTATTCCCATGATGTAAAGAATATCTTTATAAATTGACACAACATGTTTAAATCACACAAACCCTACTCTAACATGTGTTAGAGGTTTAACACGGCGAGATACTTTTGACAGGCGCCGCGTAACAGTCGGCAAAATCAAGGCTGACCAGGGGCCTCTAATGTTATAGGAGTAATATAAACCCTATGGCCTAGCTGTTGTCTGTTGAACTAACAAGCTACTATAATGCACATCATCGATACACAGTATCACTAACAGGTAGTGTTTTATTTTCAAAAGTATCAAAGAACAAGGCACAAGTTACTGATAGTTTACTAAAATGTTGTAATAAAAAAATGAATGATTTTAATTATAATAAAGGACTTAAGTTTTTAAGCTAAGTGGATCAAAGACTTGAGTTGAAAACATGTCTCAGGGGTGAAGAGTGTGAAGTGTTTTTATGTTCAATTTGCAGAAACAGATCATACCAGACCTTCCAACTTGAATGATGCTGTTTCGGTCAATGTCTAGACTGTGTAAATCTTTTGCATGGAGAAGGATCAAATTTCACACCAATTCTAAGGGGAATTCGAAGAGAAAAGATTTAGATGTGGATGTTCAATACAAAATAGTTAATGAAGGGAAGGCAGATGTCCTCCTACCCGCTGGTGTGTTCTACAATCCAGTTCAGGAATTCAACAGAGATCTCACTCTAGCCATTATATCAATTTTTGCACAAATACGTCGACAAGAGATAAAGAATGATTTGCTGAAGGACAAAAAAAACAAATATAACAAGAAAGTGCCAGTTTCAAGTGGAGAGGTAAATATTAATGATGTTGAAAAACCACAGAAGAAGATATGTGTTGATGATATAGAAGCTGGTAAGAAGTGTGCAGATGGAATATCAATCTTAGATAGCCTAGCAGCATCTGGGCTTCGGTCCATCAGGTATGGGCTAGAGATTCCAGGTGTTAAGAAAATTGTCGCTAATGATTTTGATAAAACTGCTGTAGAAGCGATACAGAAAAACATTGAGAGGAATAAACTAGATCACCTCGTCACCTCCAGCTTTGGAGATGCTTCTATGGTAATGTACATGAGTAAAGGAACAGATGCTGCATTTGATGTGATTGACCTTGACCCTTATGGAGGTGCCTCCCAGTTTCTGGATGCTGCCGTGCAGTCTGTCAGTGAAGGCGGTTTGTTGTGTGTGACATGTACAGACATGGCGCTATTGTGTGGTCGCACACCAGAAAGTTGCCGTGCAAGATATGGTACCATGTCCTACAGGTCGTCATACTGTAAGGAAATGGCACTTCGCATCCTTTTGCAAAGTATGGAAACAACTGCTAATAGGTATTCACGGTATATCATACCCATGATATCAATCAGTGCAGACTTCTACATTAGAGTGTTTGTGAGAGTTTTCACAGGTGCCGCAAATGTTAGGCTTTCATCTCTCAAGTTGGCCAATATGTATCACTGCTCAGGATGTGGAGCTTTTACAGTTCAGAGACTGGCCCGGAAATTACCTACAAAAGGTAATGAACTCCAACTTTCTACAGCACACGGACCTCCTGTGACAGATTTATGTGAACATTGTGAGCACAAACATTATGTCGCTGGTCCAGTGTGGGCGGATCGTCTTCATGACACAGACTTTGTAAAAAGAGTGATCAAATATGTTCAGGGGAAACAAGCTGACTTCCAGACACGTAAGAGAATAATTGGCATGTTAAGTCTTGTCAGTGAGGAACTCCAAGACTGTCCCATGTACTATGTTATTAATGATGTATGCAAGAAGGCCCATGTCTCGCAAGTAAAGTCGGAGCTGTTCAGGTAAGGATATTCAATTTCTCATTCAGATTTGCTCACTATCTAGAAGAGCAAGTAATCTTATGTTACATTAAATGCTGTTTGATATGTGGAAAGCTTTGCGTTTTTGTACTGTACTTGTTGATATTTTACTTAACTTCAATAATTTTGTGACCAAGATACTTGTTATGTATCTCCAATGAAGTTCAAATTTTAGGAAATGAATCAAACACTTGTGTAAATAAGGGAAAGGCTGAATTGCCAGAAACAAAATTGGATGATGTAGTGTAGGTTTTAAATTCCATTGTTGTTCAAAATTGATAGGTTTAAGGAGAAATTTTCTATTTCTGCTAGGTTGTGAGATGATCGATTGAGTAGAGCTTAGTTTAAACTTTATTTTATTTTTACAACAACACTTCATGATACACAATATATTCCATAAGGATTCAGAAAAAAGTTAATAAACTTATATAAATCCGTCTCCTTTTAAACATATACAAACTAGGTGCAAACTACCGAGTAGAGCTTGAAGAATTAGAATAAAGAGCTCTTTAATAAATGATGTTGTGTTAATTGAGAGCTATCCCCTATAAAATACAGAGAGGCCTAGTGTAAAATGTAATAGAATATTCAGTACTAGCTTGAAATTATGGTCAGAAAGGTAATTGAATGTCCATTTAGTTTAATATGTAAGTATAATGTTTCCATTCTCCTGTGGGTGGTTGATGAAGTAAAAGAAGATGCTTACCTGTAATGTTTTTGCTTCCTAGACACTTGAATATATTCCCCTTAAAGAGGTCATCAACTTCAAAGAACTTCAAAATTGTGACCTTGAACTTTGAAGTTGCTTTTTATATATGTAAGATATATATATATATATATATACACTTTGTGTAAAGTTTAGACGTGTAGAAAATCATCAAAATGTTTGTGATGGTCAACAATATTTGCCTTGTTGATGATTTTTAGCTTGTCTATTCAAAGAATAGGGGGGCTATAGCAGTACCCACGGCGTCGGCGTCCCACTTGGTTTAAGGTTTCGGACAAGCTGTGTTTTGGTGTTTAACTCAACTTTTGATTAATTTTACATTATAATATGGTTACAGCAATTGCTTGGAGGTTCCTAATTAGCAACAAATTGGACCATATTTGCTCATTATTGGTCCAAAACACAAGTCTTTTGGAATTGGTTAAAGTTTTTGGGCATGTTCTACAGGTTAAAGTTTTAGGGCAAGTTCTAGTTCTTTTGAAACTAATGGGCAGATTTTAACCAAATTGGCTGGAAGCTTCCTTAGGGGGAGAGGATTCAAGATGGTACAAACATGGGGATCAAATATTAAAAAAAAGAGTCTTTTATCATATCAAATCAAACATTATGAGTTCTATATTTTACAGTAATTTATTTTAGCTTGAAGAACAACTTGAAACTTTTAGACATGGTAGATATATGTATGGAGGAGTGCACAACACTGTCAGATGTTTGATATGACCCCCAGGGTTTAAGTTTTTGGCCAGAGGGGGTGGGTTCAAATATTAAAAACAAAAAACACAAAAAATAGAGTCTTAATTATAGCATATCAAAGTAAACATTATCATGAGTTCTACATTTTAAAGCAATTTATTTTAACATGGTGTAAGCAGGGTACTTGAGGGATATTAAGGGGTAAAATAACTTTTTCTACACTGTTTGAAGTAGGAACTGGAAACTTTTACACATGGTAGATATATGTATGGGGAAGTGCACCAAACTTGATATAGTCTTTTAGCAAGCATATCAAATCAAACATAACCATGAGTTCAACATTTTACAGTAATATATTTTGCATATGGTAATCGGGGTTGGGNTGATCTATTACCTAAGATGGGACATCCTGTAATGGCCAAATTACTATTAGCAAGTTTTTTATTTATTTTATTTTAATAGACGAGCTATGCTGTTCTCCTACAGCTCTTGTTTAGTCTACATGTATATGTAGAAATACCTACAGATCTACAAGATTAAACCATATATGTATATAGAGTTTGTATATGTTATCTTTTTTCAAATTTAAAAGAATAGACAGAGAAGTCATGAAAATTCAATCTCTGTAGACCTCTTGTTAAAACCAAAACTTGTTTTGCATTGTTCAGGTCTAGCTATTGATTTTCAAGTAATTTTTTACTGGATTATAGTTTTCTAACAATTATTACATGGTTATTTATAGAAATATTGTTGTATCTATTTTTTGCAGATGTTATGTCAGTTACTAGTAATATTATCTTTTCTAGGTCTGCTTTATTGAATGCTGGCTTTGAAGTGTCCATGTCTCATGCTGAACAGAATTCTATCAAGACCAATGCTTCAAACACAGACATCTGGGTAAGATGAACTAAATGTAAATCTGTATACTAGTATCTATTTTGATTTTGATCTATATATTTATTTTGATAATTTAAAATCACTGATTGATTTTTAGCTCACCTGCCAGAAGGGCAAGTGAGCTTATGTCATGGTGTGGCGTCCGTCCGTCGTCCGTCCCCATCCGTCAACATTTCCTTTAAACAACATCTTCTGAAGAACGGACAGGCCTAGAGTCATGATACTTGACCTTGACCTACTTTCAAGGTCACCGGGGTCAAATATGTCAAAAACTTAAAACGACTTCTCCTGAAGAACTGAAAGGTATAGAATCTTCCTATTTGGCTGGTGGCTTCCTTAGATAGAGCCCAACAAAGTTTGAGAATGAAAATTAGTTTGACCTACTTTCAAGGTCACAGGAGTCTGATATGTCTATTGCTGAAAACGACTTCATCTGAAGAACTGAAAGGTATAGAAGCTAAATATATGGCTAGTAGCTTCCTGGGAAAGAGCCCAACAAAGTTTGAGAATGAAAATGACCTTGACTTACTTTCAAAATCACGGGAGTCAGATATGTCTATTGCTGAAAACGACTTCATCTGAAGAACTGAAAGGTATAGAACCTAAATATTTGGCTGGTAGCTTCCTTGAAAAGAGCCCAACAAAGTTTGAGAATGAAAATTACCTTGACCTACTTTTAAGAATGAAAATGACTTTGACCTACTTTCAAGATCACAGCTGTCAAATATGTCAAATGCTTCAAACAACTTCTTCTGAAGAAAGAAAAGGTTAAGAATCTTCATATTTGGCTGGTGGCCTCCTGGGATGGAACCCAACAAAGTTTGAAAATGAAAATGACCTTGACTTTCATTCAAGGTCCATATTGTAAATTAGACATGTCTAAATATGTATCCCTGGATAAATAAAAGATATTATTATTATTATTATTATTATTTTAGGATATTGTACGATCATGGGAGAGAATGAATCCGGTACACGAGAAGCGTCGTGTACCTGGTTCAGTCACAGCCAATATCCTGTCCAAGAAACCAGTCCTTAAAGTGTCATTTAAACGCCACCAGATGGCCACACAGGAGTCAAAGAAAAAGAACCTGTTACGATACCAACAAAATCCAGCCAAGTATTGGGGTCCTATGAGTAAACCAAAGGCAAATAGGTCTGCTGAACCCATGCTGGACAGGACGATATATCTCCAAGGGAAGAGGATGAAGAATCGTGAAGTTAGTTATTGTCATTTATTTGTCCCAAATATGGCTTCATTGACTTCTTTATAAAAATGCAAATGGTAACTTAAATTAATCATGGTTTCTGCATGATAATTAAATTTGTTATTTTTATATTAATCATCCTTAACTTTTCAATTGATTTTCACAAAAATGGGTGTTCCCTTAATGCCCATTTTCACAAATGGTCCATAGAAGGTATTCTTACTATTTACTCCCGAACAGTACTACCAGAGGGGACTAGAATGTTAACAAATGGTCCACAGAACCAGTACTACCAGAGGGAACTAGAATTTTAACAAATGGTCCACAGAACCAGTACTACCAGAGGGGACTAGAATTTTAACAAATGGTCCACAGAACCAGTACTACCAGAGGGGACTAGAATTTTAACAAATGGTCCACAGAACCAGTACCACCAGAGGGGACTAGAATTTTAACAAATGGTCCACAGAACCAGTACCACCAGAGGGGACTAGAATTTTAACAAATGGTCCACAGAACCAGTACCACCAGAGGGGACTAGAATTTTAACAAATGGTCCACAGAACCAGTACCACCAGAGGGGACTAGAATTTTAACAAATGGTCCACAGAACCAGTACCACCAGAGGGGACTAGAATTTTAACAAATGGTCCACAGAACCAGTACCACCAGAGGGGACTAGAATTTTAACAAATGGTCCACAGAACCAGTACCACCAGAGGGGACTAGAATTTTAACAAATGGTCCACAGAACCAGTACCACCAGAGGGGACTAGAATTCTAACAAATGGTCCATAGAAAGTATCCTTACTATTTACTCCCCCACCAGTACCACCAGAGTGGACTAGAGTTTTAACAAATGGTCCATAGAAAGTATCCTTACTATTTACTCCCCCCACCCCCANGGAACTAGAGTTTTAACAAATGGTCCATAGAACCAGTACTACCAGAGGGGACTAGAGTTTTAACAATAATGGTCCATAAAAAGTATCCTTACTATTTACTCCCCCCCCACCAGAGGGAACTAGAGATTTAACAAATAGTCCATGGATAGCAGTCTCACTATGTATTCCCTATGGGGATTAAAGTTTTACATTTTCCGTCTGTCAGTGCGTAACTTTGTCACTTCATATTTCATATACTTTGGCAACTGCAATTTGCAAATGTTGTGAGTACTTCTTGGGATGGCAGAATCACAAACTAAAATGAAGCCTCGAGTCCCATCATATAGTTATTTTCATTTGTTTACTGTGTGCAACTTTGTCATATTCTCTGTCACACACACTGTCAATATAGATGTCTATTGCAATGGTTGAGTGTCACATACTAAACTTGTGTCTTTTACCCCATTTTATACAGAGTTAAGGCCCTTTATCTATTTGTATATGAAAGTTTATCAAGAGATTGGGGACATAAGATTGCTAATAGTATTTGAAGTTCACCTTACCCAAGGCCACATGATGTACTGCCAAGTTATGGCATCTGATGTTGCCTCCATGGCATTTCTCATCTCTATATATACAGCCTTCGGCAGGACATATAACAAATGTCTGTCCATAAACCATTTTGTTACTGTTCTTTAACTTTTATATTTCTAACTTCATCTTTACCAAACTTTGTTAGGGTAGACAACTATTCTTATTTGGGTCATTCTGTCAGGTTCATTCAAGGTTGATTTGTTTAATCTCACACGGTTTTTGTCAGAACTTCTGTCTTTCCAACTTCATTCAGTAAACATCAGTGGGTTGAAGTTCTAAGTGTGATTGACTGATACAGAAGTGTATATTTTGTTACTTTAATAATATTTTTTACCTGTTCTTTCCTATACTTCATGACAAAATGAAGCCACACACTCTAATTGAATTCTGATTATCATACTATTTTAAGCATAATACCCATTTTAACCAATAATGAACTTCACATGACACTATTTTTCACCAGGTGGGCCCCATTCAAATATAAATGAATATTCACACATTGTTAATACCAAATATGTGCTATCAAACCTTGGATATTTATCATACTACAAAGGATTTATTCTTCCAGGATGGTGAGGAAGATGCCAAGATGCAGGAATGATACAATCATGCTCCCTGGAAAGTGAAGGGTTTACTACAATGAAATCTCCCAGGATAGACTATTGCTGAGTGTGACTAGTGAAGGGTTTACTGCAATCTCCCAAGATAGATTATTGCTGAGTGTGACAAGTGAAGGGTTTACTACAATGAAATCTCCCTGGATAGACTTTACTGCAATCTCCCAAGATAGATTATTGCTGAGTGTGACTAGTGAAGGGTTTGCTACAATGAAATCTCCATGGATAGACTTTACTACAATCTCCCAGGATAGACTATTGCTGAGTGTGACTAGTGAAGGGTTTACTACAATGAAATCTCCATGGATAGACTTTACTACAATCTCCCAGGATAGACTATTGCTGAGTGTGACTAGTGAAAGGTTTACTACAATGAAATCTCCATGGATAGACTTTACTACAATCTCCCAGGATAGACTATTGCTGAGTGTGACTAGTGAAGGGTTTACTACAATGAAATCTCCATGGATAGACTTTACTACAATCTCCCAGGATAGACTATTGCTGAGTGTGACTAGTGAAAGGTTTACTACAATCTCCCAGGATAGACTATTGCTGAGTGTGACTAGTGAAGGGTTTACTACTATGAAATCTCCCAGGGTAGACTTTACTACAATCTCCCAGGATAGACTATTGCTGAGTGTGACAAGTGAAGGGTTTACTACAATGAAATCTCCTTAGCTAGACTTTACTACAAGCTCCCAGGATAGACTATTGCTGAGTGTGACTAGTGAAGGGTTTACTACAATGAAATCTCCATGGATAGACTTTACTACAATCTCCAAGGATAGATTATTGCTGATTGTGACAAGTGAAGAGCTCACTACAATGAAATCTCCCTGGATAGACTTTACTACAATCTCCCAGGATAGACTATTGCTGAGTGTGACTAGTGAAGGGTTTACTACAATGAAATCTCCCTGGATAGACTTTACTACGATCTCCCAGGATAGACTATTGCTGAGTGCGACTAGTGAAGGGTTTACTACAATGAAATCTCCCAGGATAGACTTTACTACAACCTCCCAGGATAGATTATTGCTGAGTGTGACAAGTGAAGGGTTTACTTCAATGAAATCTCCCTGGATAGACTTTACTACGATCTCCCAGGATAGACTATTGCTGAGTGTGACAAGTGAAGGGTTTACTATAATGAAATTTCCCTGGATAGACTTTACTACAATCTCCCTGGATAGACTATTGCTGAGTGTGACAAGTGAAGGGTTTACTACAATGAAATCTCCCTGGATAGACTTTAATACAATCTCCCAGGATAGACTTGCTGAGTGTGACAAATAAGGGTTTACTACAATGAAATCTCCCCAGATAGACTTTACTATGATCACCCTGGATAGACTATTGCTGGGTGTGACTAGTAAAGGGTTTACTACAATGAAATCTCCCTGGATAGACTATTGCTGCGTGTGACAAAGTGAAGGGTTTACTACAATAAAATCTCCCTTGATAGACTATTGTTGAGTGTGACTTGTGAGGAATTTGTGATAACAACAGTAAAAGCATATGAGTGGTACTGATCTAGGGGTTTTATTGTAGTGTGTATGTTCACTATTTCATTTGCTTGTGAGAAGGCAGTGGCCTGGAGGGGAGGGATGATGAGCAAAACTGGTGCCCGTTTTAGGAGAGTTATCTCCCTTCTGATTAATGCCAGGACTCCAGACTTTGTGTGTCAAACAGAGGTAACAAACGTGGGAGTAGCATACCATAACAAAGTCACATTGAGGTCACTGTTTTTGAAAGCAGGAATCGTAAACTTTGTGTTGGACATCATTTTAAGGAGGTATGCCATAAGTAGGTCACTGTGACCTACTTTTTACGGGCTTGCCTTCGAGGTGTCAACATATGGTATGGCCTAGGCCTTCATCTACATGAACAGTATTTGCATTGTGTGTGATAACTTTCCCAGATATCATTGAATTGCCTTGATATATAAAGATTAAAGTCAAGTTCTATCGGTTCATGCCATTACAATATATTAAAAGTTAAATTTATAGATGGCCAACACACCTTATGGCACTTTTAACAGACGAGAAGAAGATTCAATTGAAAGAAAACAAACGCTTATGTAACATTTCATAATGATCATTTCATTCTGATAATTCAGTGTACATTAATTTTTCATATAAAAATTAATAACAGAAAAAATTCAATAAATATCTATAATTGGATGAACATAATACATATAAAAACACAACTATATATAATACTAAAATGGTACCAATGTCAATACAGTAGAGTTGATGAATTCCAATCTAAAACACCACAGATAAAACAAATTGTACAAATGAGGAAATTTACTATATATAAACATCAAATTAATCTCCCCAATACCCAGACACACTTTGGCCCCTAGGTACCAGGTAATTTGGCCCACAGATACAAGGTAATCAGTTATTATTTACACGGTTTTATGTTACAGTTAACAATAATTCATACATGAGATGCTAAAAACAACTTTATGTAAAAAAGAATCTGGATGTATATCATGTGTCGCATCCGTGGCCACATTGGAGGACATAATATGATGTTATATTGTCCATCAGTGACTATCAATAATTCAGTACAAATGTACCAGGTTTTTTTAGCATATAAAAGGTAGATAACTCTTCAGTTATCGATCCTGCAGTCTAAAAAGTCAAAGGTCAAGGTCATTCAAGTAAAATTCTTTCAATATGATTGACTTGTGGTGTTTATTCTAGTTGGCATTTATGATCAACTTTCTTGGTGTAAATATAAATTGCTTAATCTGTTTGGGATTTTGTTTTAACCTTTGAAATAACATTCACTTCAAAGAGCAGCTGCTAATACAAACAACAGAACAAGTGCTTGGACAATCATAGTACTTGTGGAATAAAGATGCATGTTTGATATGCTTCTCTACTGGAAAGACACATAACAAAATATCACAATATTCAACCAACATATCACATTGGCTGGACACCTAACATTCACAACAGAAATGGACGGAGAGATGTAAAAGCCTTCCTCATTATTGAGATTTAAAGGGGATTCACGTGTATCATTGCAATTTGTATAGAAAATAAAATTATGCGCAAGAAGTCACCTTCATTTTTGTGATTTGAAAGGGTTTATTTTTGGACGGAGTGGGCAAACTTAACATGCATACCGCTTTATCACAACCTAGTTCGTACGTCGTCTCAAAGCGGTTCACAAATTATTATCCGTGGTTGTAGGGCCTTTGCAACCAGCCAATATCTTTCTCAACTTTTACATGTGTATCATTGATGTACCAAAAATTACCAGGTACTCTCTCTTTTGTGATTTCAAATCATTTGTAAGGGTTTATTTTTTGGACGGAACAGGCAAACTTAACATATATCATCGTAAGTGGTGTAGAAAAAAATTACCTACAAAAAGTCATCCTCATTTCTGTGACTTGAAAGGGTTTATGTTTGGATGGAAGTGGCAAATTTAACAAACAGCATAACATTTACAAATAGAAACAGTTCTAGCTGGAAACATCACAAAAAACTGGCAAATGGTCAGTGGTGTCTGTTTTGAATGTCTTTAAAAGAATTGTAAGCAAAAAAAGACATGTATCTTGGTAAAACTTGGTAAAAAATTTAAGATGAATTTTAACATGTTTACATGATAAACTCTTGTTACTACCAATATATAGATTGTTTATCTATCAGTTTCTACAAAAACAAAGAAATACAGCTCTTCTGGTTTATTGATAAAGCACCAACTTATATTAGACTTCCTCAATATTGTGTCTGGAATGGGACTCTCCGGCTGATTATCTCTAGGATTGTTTAAAATGTCTGGAATGGGACTTCCTAGACTCTAACTTTTAACTATTGTCTGGAATGGTACTCTTCTAGACTAGCTCTCGGATTTATCGTCTGAAATTGGACTTTTCTAGACTAACCCTCGGATTTACCATCTGGAATGGGACTCTCCTAGACTAACCCTCGGATTTACCTTCTGGAATGGTACTCTCCTAGACTAACCCTCGGATTTACTGTCTGGAATGAGACTCTCCCTCTAATTTACCATCTGGAATGAGACTCTCCTAGACTAATCCTCAATTTTCCCGTCTGGAATGGGACTCTCCCTCTAATTTACCATCTGGAATGAGACTCTCCTAGACTAATCCTCAATTTTCCTGTCTGGAATGGGACTCTCCTAGACAAATCCTCGGATTTACTGTCTGGAATGAGACTCTCCCTCTAATTTACCATCTGGAACGAGACTCTCCTAGACTAACCCTCAATTTTCCTGTCTGGAATGGGATTCTCCCAGAATATTCCGCTGAATTTCTGTCTGGAATGGAACTCTTCCAGAGTGGGACTGTCAAAGGCTATTCCTTTGAATAACTGTCTGGAATGGGACCCATCAGATATAAGAAATAGATTTTTATCATCTTAATTAACAAGCTACATGTTAACAAAGCAAGCCTGCACCTTATTGATGTTTGCAGACATGGGAACAAGTTATATCACCATACAAAATACACAGAGGATTAATGATTTGTTCATTACTCGGGTAATGCTGATCCAGGTGTCATGACGGACAACTTTAATTGTACATGTTTTTATCACAGATTTAAAACAATAAACATACCCCCACAAAAGTAATGACAACAAGGAAAACAATATCACAGTTATACACTTCTTTCCCTTTTTGGTAACTGGCCCGGATAACCAGCTAACATATCAAGTGTTTTGGCCCCCATAACATCTTAATGCTGAGCTTAACAGCACCAGTAGCTTTTGGTTTGTCACAACAATTTTATAATTCAGATCAACAGAGGTAAAAAGCAGACATTCTAAAAATTGAACATCAACTTCTCCCCATCTAATAAATTATTATTTTCATTTACCAACATTCAATAATGGGATATTCTTTCTTGAGAATAAGTTTAAAATGCCTTATTCCCAAAGGAACTGTAGGATTTCCTTGTATTATGTAGTAAGTATTTCTTGCACAGAAATTTCCCTAAAGATGAGCATGAACAATATACATTTGGAATAGGAAAGTCACCGAGACACTGACAAGAGTCACACATATATGTATTTTGCTATAAGTTATCCTCCTGATAAAAAGTTTTCATGACTGGTCATTGGTCTCCTCGTGATCTGGCTCATCTGCATTCTCTATTGTCGTACCCAGAATTCCTTCTACATCTTCTATTGCACTCTGGAATAGAAACAAATAGTCATACCATATACAAATATACAACTGTAATGGGCATAGTTAATTGTTAATTGACAGGCCATTGGCAATCTGTTGTGTAAATTGAGGACTACCCTAGGTATATGGTACCAGAAATCAGTAGAGTACACTTTGTCTCCTGATGAGATAATTTCACCATGTGGTGTACACCATGGTTCTCAAATTAACGGAGCACTTGAAGTAACGCAAGCAGAACTGGTCAATTTTCAAACCTAATAATGTTATTACTCTGTATTTAAACAGAAGCCTGAAGTTCTGACAAAAATTAATAATAACAGTAAAACAAAACAAAAATACCTATAATATGCTGTATTTTTTTTAGCATATTTATTTTTGTATTACTGTTATTATTAATTTTTGACAGAACTTCAGGATCCTGTGGTATTTACTTGTTTTTAAGGGTTAAATGTCCTTGTAACAGTCAAGGTCATATGGAGAGGGTGTTACACTGTTCGGGTAAAATCAGAATCACTGAGATAAGTCCTGAAGAACACATTTCAATAAAATGATTGTGCCTACCTTGAAATTGGTCTCTCCCTGCATGTTTGGTGCCGAGATCTCCTGGTGAATGACAGACATGTTCCTAGCAAACGTAGCTAAAGCTCCTTGTAGATTGTCTCCAATGGTCCTGTAAAAAAAAGGGAATAGTGCAGAAATAACTGACACGAGTATGAACATAACTGACACGAGTATGAACATAACTGACACGAGTACGAACATAACTGACACGAGTATGAACATAACTGACACGAGCACGGTATAATAACTCGGGTATGAACATAACTGACACGAGTATGAACTTAACTGACACGAGTATGAACATAACTGACACGAGAATGAACGTAACTGACACGAGTATGAACATAACTGACACGAGAATGAATGTAACTGACACGAGTATGAACATAACTTGACACGAGTATGAACATAACTGACACAAGTATGAACATAACTGACAGGCTAAAATATCAACAGTATCTAACTGTCCAATTGCCTCTATAAATAAAGAGTATATCTGTATCCAATGTTTAACATGGTATGAGATGAATACACGATCATTGTGCATTCCAGCACTTGTAGGTTTTAATTCCAAACAATAAAATATGTGTATCTGAAATTGGTGGGTCAAAATATCCCGAAAACAAAATATTACCATGAAAGTTGATGTTTGAGTTACTGCATTAATGAACTTTATTATTTGAGCATGAATTAACGTTTAAGTTAGGAGCATTAGGAAAATTTAATATTGAAGCATTAATTAACCTTTTAGTTAGGTGCATTAATCAAATTTAATATTGAAGCATTAATTAACCTTTTAGTTAGGTGCATTAATCAAATTCAATATTGGAGCATTAATCATTTTAATATTTGACCTTGAATTAACGTTGAAGTTAGGGGCATTAATCAACTTTGATATCTGAGTAAGAGTTTACAGGGATCTAATGTATGAAAATATCAATGGTTCACTACCCTGTTTTTTAATTAACAAGGTTTGATACACCTCAGTCAGGTTATCTGATAAACATTGGACAAGGTCGTGTTGTTATTTAAGGACTGGACTGCGGGTTTTAAACCTTTATGATGATATACAAACAAATTTCAACAGTACATGGCAGCACATCCCGAAAACGTGTTGAAACAGAAATGTATTGTATACCATCATAAATGTTAAAAAAATAATGCATTCCAATCCTTGACCTTATATTTAAGTTTTATCAGATACATTTTTAACAAACTGTTTTACTAAATGGAGCAAAAGGCATTTTTTTTGTATATGGTTGTAATTTTTACCAGTTGACAAACATCAATGGGAAACAACTGGGAATTTTGTGTCAATGTTTGAATTTGACGTCACAATGTGATTTAATACCATATAGCTGGTTTCTCTTTTTATAGAAGTACTTTATCAGTGATTTAAGTCAAATAAGGGATACTTACAACATGCCCAACCTTTCTCTGTTAAAACTGTCAATTAATGTAAATACTGTTCCCTGCTTCTCCTGAAAATATAATGCAATTTCTTATCAAAGAATGAAACAACAGCAATCTGAGGTAGAGGAAACAAGTGTATCAGTATTAAGTAAAACCTAATGGCAATAAAACAACCATAGTATGGTATCTGTTTTAAAATAGAAAAGATGGATTTTCATTTGACAACTGAAGACTAGTTCACCGGTCAAGTTTATATTGCTCAAAGTACACAAAGGTCAAATGCTTTGTCACTCAATACAGAATTAATACATCTGCAACATGTGCACAAAGGGCCTGTTTCCAGTAATGTTAATTCTCCATAGGAGCCTGNCCCTGGTAATGATGGTATACCCTGGTAAGTATGGAAAAATTGTTAAAGCATGGATGAAGAGAGGGGCAAGTTATCCAGATAATTTAGTAACGGAACATTGCTATACATAACATTCATAATTGTGAGTGTACCTTGATATCATAGCCAATGCCATGGGCCCTACACATCTGGAAGAACACGCTGTAGTGGACAACAGCAAGGTTTGTGTGTAGGAGGCGAGTACTCATGACACCAAACCGACCTGTGTTAGGCTCCGTCTGTGAAACAGAAATGGTGTAAAAAAAATAACTGACAATGTTTCAATAATTGGTTAACTACTCAACTGTAGAGAGTAGACATGAGACTGTGACTAACCAATCAGGCTGTAGACAGTAGACATAAGGTTATGTGACTAACCACTCAGGCTGTACACAGTAGACATAAGACTGTGACTTACCACTCAGGCTGTAGGCAGTAGACATAAGACTGTGACTTACCACTCAGGCTGTAGACATAAGACTGTGACTTACCACTCAGGCTGTACACAGTAGACATAAGACTGTGACTTACCACTCAGACTGTGTAGGCAGTAGACATAAGACTGTGACTTACCACTCAGGCTATAGACAGTAGACATACGACTGTGACTAACCACTCAGGCTGTACACAGTAGACATAGGACTGTGACTTACCACTCAGGCTGTAGACAGTAGACCTAAGACTGTGACTTACCACTCAGGCTGTACACAGTAGACATGAGACTGTGACAAACAACTCAGGCTGTAGACAGTAGACATAAGACTGTGACTTACCACTCGGGCTGTAGACAGTAGACATAAGACTATGTGACTTACCACTCAGGCTGTAGATAGTAGACCTAAGACTGTGACTTACCCCTCAGGCTGTACACAGTAGACATAGGACTGTGACTTACCACTCAGGCTATGGACATAAGACTATGTGACTAACCACTCAAGCTGTAGAGACAAGACATAAGGCTATGTGACTAACCCCTCAAGCTGTAGACACAAGACATAATGCTATGTGACTAACCACTCAAGCTGGAGACACAAGACATAAGGTTATGTGAATAACAACTCAGGCTGTAGACAGGAGACATAAGACTGTGACTTACCACTCGGGCTGTAGACAGTAGACATAAGACCGTGACTAACCACTCAGGCTGTACCCAGTAGACATAAGACTGTGACTTACCTCTCAGGCTGTAGACAGTAGACATAAGTCTGTGACTTACCACTCAGGCTGTACGCAGTAGACATGAGACTGTGACAAACAACTCAGGCTGTAGACAGTAAACATAAGACTGTGACTTACCACTCAGGCTCTACACAGTAGACATGAGACTGTGACTTACCACTCAGGCTGTGGACAGTAGACCTAAGACTGTGACTTTCCTCTCAGGCTGTACACAGTAGACATGAGACTGTAACAAACAACTCAGGCTGTAGACAGTAGACCTAAGAATGTGACTTACCACTCAGGCTGTACACAGCAGACATAAGACTGTGACTTACCACTCGGGCTGTAGACAGTAGACATAAGACTATTTGACAAACCACTCAAGTTGTAGACACAAGACATAAGGCTATGTGACAAACCACCCAAGCTGTAGACACAAGACATAAGGCTTTGTGACTAACCACTCAAGTTGTAGAAACAAGACATAAGGCTATGTGACTAACCACTCAAGCTGTAGGCAAAAGACATAAGACTATTTGACTAACCAATCAAGCTGTAGACACAAGACATAAGGATAAGTGACTAACCACTCAGGCTGTAGAAAGTAGACATAAGACTATGTGACTAACCCCTCAAGCTGTAGACACAAGACATAATGCTATGTGACTAACCACTCAAGCTGGAGACACAAGACATAAGGTTATGTGAATAACAACTCAGGCTGTAGACAGGAGACATAAGACTGTGACTTACCTCTCAGGCTGTACACAGTAGACATAAGACTGTGTCTTACCACTCAGGCTGTACACAGTAGACATAGGACTGTGACTGACCACTCAGGCTGTAGACAGTAGACCTGAGACTGTGACTTACCACTCAGGCTGTCGACAGTAGACCTAAGACTGTGACTTATCACTCAGGCTGTACACAGTAGACATAGGACTGTGACTGACCACTCAGGCTGTAGACAGTAGACGTAAGACTGTGACTTACCACTCAGGCTGAAGACAGTAGACCTAAGACTGTGACTTTCCTCTCAGGCTGTACACAGTAGACATAAGCCTGTGACTAACCACTCAGGCTGTACACAGCAGACATAAGACTGTGACTTACCACTCATGCTGTACACAGTAGACATGAGACTGTGACTTACCACTCAGGCTGTGGACAGTAGACCTAAGACTGTGACTTACTACTCAGGCTGTACACAGTAGACATGAGACTGTGACAAACAACTCAGGCTGTAGACAGTAAACATAAGACTGTGACTTACCACTCATGTTGTAGACAGGAGATATAAGACTAAGTAACTAACCACTCAGGCTGAAGAGAGTAGACATACGGCTATGAGACTAACCACTCAAGCTGTAGACAAAATACATAAGACTATGTGACTAACCACTCAAGCTGTAGGCAAAAGACATAAGACTATTTGACTAACCACTCAAGCTGTAGACACAAGACATAATGCTATGTGACTACCCCCTCAAGCTGTAGACACAAGACATAATGCTATGTGACTAACCACTCAAGCTGTAGAGACAAGACATAAGGCTATGTGACTAACCCCTCAAGCTGTAGACACAAGACATAAGGCTATGTGACTAACCACTCAAGTTGTAGACACAAGACAAGGATATATGACTAACCACTCAGACTGTAGACAGTAGACATAAGACTATGTGACAAACCACTTAAAAAACAACTTCAATGGAAATGAAATTTTAAAATATCATTATTACATTATGATTATCCTTTATTTGATGAAGTTGAACTTTAAAACACTGACAGCATCACACAACAAGTATATGGCTTTATGACGAAAGAGGAAAGAGCTACCTCTTCTTCCTGGCCAGCAAGTCTTCGCCTCCTCTGACGTTTCTCTTGCTTGTTCATTGGAACGTTGAGGACATGCTTGGCCGGGTCGAGAACACCATTACTGACATAGGACATGAGCTGGAACATGGCCAGGCTGTCGCTGTAATGTAGGCTAAGATCTAACGCCCACAGCCTCTGCTCCATCTGGGAGATACATAAGGACATAGATTATATCACAAATCTAATCCATCACTGACAGTCTGGCACATGTCTTATATCGCATTGATGTCATTGACTTCAGTCATGTATGGAAGAAGGCTTTATTTCCTTCGAATGTTGTGCACATTATGTATACTATGAAAGTACGGATAAAAAAGTCCATGTTTTTTTTGTATTTTTGAAATTCAAATTGGCAAATTGATAAGCAATAGGTTACATTTATGCAATAATGATATGTACGTTCATACTTATTTTTTCAGATTTTAAGTCATAAAAATTATTTAAGACAGACATGTTTTATTTTTCAATTTCCTAATCTAAAATCTATTTACATACTACTTATCTATTTGATAATAGTGCTTTCAATAGTACATCAGTAGCAATCATTTTCTACTAAGAATTAATTTTTTAACCTATATGATGTAGCAGTAAAAAAAGCACAGAAATTAGTATAGCTTACAGTTTTAGGGTCTATAAATGTGACAAAGTCGACGGAGAAGTATCCCAGAATACCCCTGGTTTTGCAGGCCTCCGCAATCTGTTTACAGGCGACATTGAGGACATCTGGTTCGACAGAAGACTGGGGTACCGATACCCCCCAACAGCTGAAGGGTGTTTCTGCATGGATCTGGTCCCCACAGCAAACCATTCTGTGTTTACCGTTCGGCTCGATCATCATGTCTACTGTTAGTGTCGTGATGCTCTCGGAGGGCGGGCAGGCCTCAATCACTCCACCTGAATAAAGGCAGGGTAAACACTTGTAGAAATGTATAAACATTTTACTCATTTAATGTTTGCCATAACCTGTTTTGTACCATAAATCGGTAATATACCATTCTTGCTTAACCTGTGCAAACTGAAATTGTTGTTTGTGACGTTCTTTTCAAATCAAAACATGAGTGATAACAGAGTTCATGAATGCTCCTCTTTTTAAAAGGAACAACTTTTTCATAATTACGAAATGAATTTTTGTCCTGAAATTTTGAAATACTTTTGTATATGTAGTAGTATCAGGATAATAAGCCTTTGTATGTTTCTTTATTTTGTGTCTGTACTACAGGTAAGCCTACCTTGACTGAGGAAAGCCTCTAGGAAGGTTTCCCAGGTCGCATAAATACTGGTATGAACTGGTTTTGAATTTGCGTGTAACACGTCTGCTATTTCTGCATGGATTTTAATGTATGCTGCTTCCTGTTAAAGTAAATGAAATGAAACACTTTCAATGGAGAACATAATTTCACTTTTGGTATAAAGTGCAACTCTATATGGTTGGTAACCACCAGTTAGATATTTACTTCTTTAATCTTAATTGTTTAATTTTGAAAGATACAAAAGACATAAACTAAAACTTGTTTCTTCTGTAATCTTTATGTTGGGAAAGTTATAAGGATTTTGGGAAAAAATAGCATTATTTTCCATTGAGAATGGGGCTAAATTTTGGCCCAAAACTGGCCGACAAAAACATTTTTATTATGACACCTCTCTGCAGTTTGACTAAATCATTAGTGAAATTTAAAAAAATCATATTTGTAATGGCTTTCGTTAAATGTTCCAAATACACAAATATGCAACAAAACTACACATTTTGAACAGTTTCAAGACAACCTGTAATTTCTACAATCAGAACTTTGTAAATGTACCTCCAAAGAATAGTACATTTGTTTTTATTATAATAAGGTTTCTTCAACTTAATCATGAAGTACCCTATGAAGAACTGACCTGTGCCCACTTTTTGCTCCACTTCTCACCGTACCGCCGTGACTCCTTCAGGGCCCAAGGGTAACACTGTAGGTGTTCCGTCACATCACAGTATGCAATGCCACGTCCATCAAACTCATCATCAAGCTTAAACAGCCAACGCTTCACAGTCAGGTTCTCCGTAACTAGCTGTGCCAGACATTCGTGTAACTGAAGGAGTATACATAAAAATTTCATCAAAGAACAGGAAGTACAAAACTTAAGAAGTATTCAACTTTGATTTTATCAGGCCCCGCTTGTATAAAAAACCTCAACTTGAAACTTTCCGTTGAGATTTCCTTAGCTGAGATTTCCTCAAATATGCCTTGTATAAACATTTCTCAGGTAACTTGAGGACGTCCTTAGCTGAGGAAAACTTAAAGCGTGTTCGCAATGGTCCTTACTTTTGAGGATCAAGCAAATATTCAATCTGCTTTTTATCGAATAATTTATTTCAAAATTTCATCCTGATAAATTGTAATTTAACAAAAAAGTATTTAGCTTCAGTGGACTAGTCTTAATAAACACTCACCTGTCCCAGACTATATACATCGTATTCACTTGGGGGCAGGTCAACAGCAGCACTTGCGAAGATTCTCTTACAGCCAGACTTGGTGGAGTACAGGTGTGCAACCTCAGGCTCAGGAGAGAGGATTGGCACATCAAGCTCGTCGGCTACCGCCAGGTCGTCGCTGTGGGGAACGCCTGACACCATGTATGCTTCACGACCCTTGATCAGGTGTTTTATACGTTTGATGGTGCGTGGACTGTATTTCAGGAGTGTGGACAGACACATCCTATGGGTCTGAAAGTTAACAGAAAGAAAATGACTGACTAATTCACCTAAAGTCATGCAGTAAAATATCACCATTTTTTTTTCAAAATAATCATAATTTCAAAACTATAATGATCAATGTTGATGAGTTTTGACCTAAAAAGATTAAAACTTCTGTTTGCTCTATTGCTTCAAAATCAGGAAAAAGTATGTAGTGTATTGACTGATTGAAATCAACTTATGTAACCATCATCCAGATATTGATGAGAACTTTATAAGATGTATGACGACTGGAACAATACGTGTTAATTACCCACCACTAACAAGTTTGACACATTCAGTGAAGTTGTAACTAAACCAAATTGATAATTACAGGGAAGCTCTTGATGGCATCGGGAGTAATAATGCGGTACCGCTCAGACATGACACACTGGTCCTCGACGTTTCCCGAGTCAACGGCTGCCTTCAGGCCCAGCAGCTTGCTGTAGTACTGGAGGGTTTCCTCACTGAGGGGCACCGGTGAGATAAATATCACATCCACATTGGGGTCTGTAAATGTAAATGTTCTTTAATTACTATCACCACTTCCCTAAGACATCTACCTATAACTGTGTACTTTAAGAGCATCCAAGTTCTGGTAAGGAGAATCTTGCTCTAATTATGATAATTAAAAGAACTCCTAATTAGTACAAATACATATATTCATCCATATTGAGGTCTTTGGGAGGTCAGCAATAATAATAACCTACCCAGAAAATAAACAACCAAGATCAAGATATCAAGGAGGAAACTGACACAGGAATTGCCTGTTGTCAAATCCTTTAGGTTTATCAATAAAAATTTAAGAACAAAGAAATGAATAATTCAGACATACTAATATAATATCAGAGTTAAAGAAATTCTGTAATGCACAAGGTGTACCTATGATTGTCACTTTGACCTTGAAAAGAATCTGGAGAGATAATTTAGAGATTATGATGTAACGGTTGTTCACATGGCTTTACACAGACTGATTTTGTTCATTAATGATCAGTATGAAACTTGCATATATCCCATACAATTTCTCCTTACACTGTTATACAGCTCAGAAACGATAACTCTGTTAATGTACTACATTTGTACATCACTCAGGTACATACCGCGGATGTCACAGAGGCGGGCCATCTGTGTGTTCTGACGGATCCCAAACTCATGGATGGTGTCCCTGATGTTCTGAGACAGCCCCAGGGAGGACATGTGGATGATCACCCGCTTGGACTGCTTGATTCTGTCCCAGGACATCGCAAACTTCTGGAAACACGACCAAAGCTTTTTTGTTTTATGATATTTACATCATACGGATAGACTCATTTAACTGATAGTGTATCTGAATTTGTCACTAGCTTTCAGAATCTGTTAACTGACATTTCCTACACTTCTGATAAATTTGATCCACGCCATATATCTAATACATACCAGTTCTAGAGAAGAGGTCAATAATTACTTTATTCAATCTTACCTTTGTTAAAATACTACCTCTATATAGAATTTAACCTTTGAACTTAGTGCGACCTTATCTTTGACCTCCAATATATATCATATATATAGCCAGTCTAGTGAAGAACTTGACCTTTATGCCCTAAGTGAGACAATACTTTCTGTTTAAGCTCTGACCTTCCTTGTATATCTCCGAAATATTCCACCCAGCCCTTTGTACAGATTTTAACCTTGGCCCTTGCCTGGTGATGAAACCCGATAAGACATCAATTGCCAACCTCTATTTCATACATTGTTTACAAATATATTGACAGTGTTATTCTGATGATGTATATCTGACCTTTGCCCTCCGTCTGAATGCCTCCAGCTGATCCTCGCGACTCTGTTTGAGTTTCTGTTTGACCTGTGACATCTTTATAGTCATGATCCAGGAGATAGCAATAACACCTGCTGCCCACTTCTTCTTACGATATTCCAGATACTCCGAACGATCACGGAACATCCGCCACGAAGACTGGATACGAGTGGCTGCCACATTTTTCCCATTCGGACCCTTAAATCGTCTCCCCTGTGAAACCCAACAAATACATATTCAGTGGCCAATGACTGACTATTTTGTTTTGGTAGGTAAATAAATCGATACGCCTGTATATGGTACACATGTGAACATCAAGTAATGCCGTTTTCAGTGAGGTGTGTCTGGCTACTCACAGGCCGGTTCATGATGACCTCCACATCTTCTCGGTTGACAATGACAGTAAGTAAGTCATCCACACTTGGGGCCTTCTCAAGCTCAAACTCCAGGGACAGGTCAGCAAGTCTGTCAACAACACAAGTCAAAGCTTACAATGTGAAATGCAGTGGGCACATATCACTGTTTGCCAGGCCAAAAAATGCCATTTCCAAACATGGAAAAATTACACCATGGATGGAATATTATCTCAACATGTCAAAAGTTTATCATTGTTACGAGGAAATCTGATATCTTTGCAAACAGCTAAAGTCAAACGATGATGGAAGCTATTATGTAACAAGAGGCCCAATGGGCCTGCATCGCTCACCTGGTATTAATCTCACACTTGTAATCTTAAAAAGTGGACTAAAATACATCTACAGGCAGAATATCAGTGTTTGATTCCTAAGAACCTATTTAAAGATTTAAACATAATTTTTTAAGACGCCTGTGACGTTGAATGTCGAACATGGACATTAGGTTGAACAGAGTTTATAGTCTTCCAACACAGCACGCATCTGGCAAAATATCATTACACTGGACCTTTTGGTTATATAGAACAAATCATTTAAAGATTTAAACATATATTGACCACTGTGACCTTGAATATGGGTGAAGGTCATTCACTTGGTAGTCCTTCATCCCAGCATGTTAATGGCCAAATATCATCACTCTTGGCCTTTTTCTTGTTAAGAAGAAGTCATTCAATGGTTTTAAACATATTTGACCCCTGTGACCTTGAATATATATGTCAAGGTCATT